AAACAAATAATCAATCGACTTCGGCTCATCTTGCTTGTTCGGATTCGGAAGAAGCCACGAAGCCGCTTCGGCTTCATCGGCGTCGGAGTAGTAATCATCGCCGAAGAGCTTGTTAATAGCCGCCGACTTAGCGGCGGCGGCTGCGGCGGTTGAGGAAGAGTTTTGCTCGCCAGGAGGAGGAGGGGAGAGAGGGTCGTAAAAAGGGGAAAGAGGGACACGATCGTGCCGACGAGCAAGAGGGTTAGCAGAGTGAATATCACGGTCGCAAGTGGCGCAGATATGTGCGGCGTCAGCTTTGCAGGTGACAGTGGCGGGCGCGTGCTCGCAGACCTCGCAGACCCAGACACGGGCGTGCCGAGATGCGAGCTTGTTGGCGGCGTGGACTTTGGCGTCGCACGAGATGCACAGGTAGGCCGTGTCAGCGCGGCAGAACACGGTGGCGGAAGCGGATTTGCACGAGTCGCATAGTTTTGCTGCCATAAGACCTCCTCCCATTATTTGGCGTTTTCAATTATTTTTTTTTTGGGGAATTTTCTCTTACAGCAATATCTTTGATTTCTCTCTCCTTGTTTGTGGAAATAATAATTTAATTTTTGAATATATTTTTTTTTTTAGGTGGGAAGTATTTAGTGTAGTAGGAAAAGGATGAGAGTGAAGGGTGAGTAGAGTCAATCAATTATCTGATCAGGAGAGAGAGGAGATCTAAGTTGGACAAATGGGAGGGTGACATGTGGATCAGCCTTAGCCACTTACTTGGGAAGACAAAAAGAGGATGAGAAAATCGTTTTTTTCTCTCCCCTTACCCTCCTTTGCTTACTTGGTGGTCCTTGTTATCTCATTCATCGTTCTAATAATAGAAGTAGCAATGTAGCTGGGTATAGTCCGTATAGATGGGACTATCCAAGCTGGACCTGACAAATCTAACTCGACTCGAATAACTCAATTCATGATAAAAAAATTTGAAATCTATCCGACATTTGAAATGACCAGACTCGATATGAAATTGACTTGATACCCAAAATGATCTAACCCGAAGTCGACCTTATCTGATTTTAATCCAAATTACTTGACCCGAACAGACCCAAAACCTAAAATGTCCCAAACTAAAATATCTTAATACCTGAACTTAAAATGCATGGTGCCATAAATGACTCAAACTGTTTCAACTCCAACTGTAATTGAATTCACAAACCGAATAAAATTATCGATTTGAGCTTGTTCCACAATACCAACACAAAATGAATGGCCGGAACATGACTTGACCCGATTTTGAACATGACCCGAACATACTCGATCTGAAATTGACCCGACCTTAACAAACCTAACCTGAAATTGACCCGACCAGAAACCTGACTCGAAATATACCCGAAACCTGAATTGACTCGATTCAAACTCAACCCGAATGTTAGCTGACCCGAAATTGACCCGACCAAAATGACACGTTTTTCAGGTCTAGTGCAAGCTCATGTGTTGTGTCAGCAAAACTCATGCTTAAGTGTTGTGTTTTTGAAATAAGTCAAGAAAATAATATATCATATCAAACTTGTGTCGATTTTTCATAAATAAAGCTACACATAAATTAACTCATGTATTGTTCATGGTTTGTCGACGGATCCTGCTTAACAATTTTTATATTTATGTGAATTATTGATAAAAATATGTGGGTTAGCCTGTTGTGCTTGTGCTAGATTTTGGAAATGATGTATATGCGGCCAAGCACGACCCATGGCCTAGGCCACCAGCATGTGTTGTCTCTCACGCAGTGTTGCATTTGTGACAAATTCCTTCCATTCAAACCATTTTTGTGTAAATCATGATTGATTCTTGTATCAGTGCAACCCATGCTCAACTTTACCCACTACATAAATTAATTTATTACAATTACAATTAAAAAAAAAGTACTCGTATAACATTTTATAATGTACTAACACTATCTTACATCATTTAAATCTTTATTAGATATAATTGTATGTATTGAAAAAAATTAAAGAGCAAAACTAGATTATGGTAACAATTCTTAAACTCAATACTTTTGTTAATATGATCTACTATAAATAAGAAACCTAATCTCTTATTATTAACTTTAACACATACACATACACAATGACAACAAGAAACTTGAGTATAATTAAAACAAGAAACTTAAGCTCTTATTGTTATCTTTAACACACAACGGCAACAAGTCATTACGTTAGTCGTTACTCCCTCCATCTCACAATAATTGACAACTTATCTGCCTTATAATCCGTTTCATATTCCGATCCATTTTAAGTTAATTAATAGCATTAGACATTATCATTACCTTTTATGACAAGGGACCACTAATATTTTATTGAGTTAATTAGTTCTAATTATTAATAATTTATTTACTTGTGACTTTTTACATAAATTTTTGTTGAATTAATCTTATTGAATACATATAGTCAAAATATCAATATTTTATATTTTTTTATAATTAAAAATCAAAGATATCAAGACAACTCTAAGTATTGTAATAAAAACAAAAACTAAGGAATTGTATTTTTATTATCATTATTATTATGATTATTGGAATTGTAACCTATAACAATAGTATAGATTATAGTGTCCCATTGGTGTTTCGATTTATGATTAGTAACCTAGACCACCTTAACCAGTATGTGGGCTTCTAGAGGACAATGATAGTTATTGGCAAAGACTTTTTCCAATCCGTAAGTTTTCAGTAATTTTATGAAAACCTTAATTACTTTACGCTTTATTTGGATAGGAAACAAGAAAGGAAAGGAAGGGGAGGGATAGAAGAGGAAGGGAAGAGAGAAGAAAGGAAGGGAAAGATGAGCTCCATTTTTACTCCAAATCTCTCCAAATTGGAGAGATTATGCTTATTAAAGAGAGAGGGAAAATGGATCCCTTCCTCTCATTTCCCTTCCTTTCCCCAATCCTTTACCCAAACAAAAGAATTTGTCCCCCTCCCTTTCTCTTCCTTTCTTTTCCTTTCATTTCCTTCTATCCAAACAAAGTGTTAATTTCCACGAGCATGTATAGTTGTATTGATTGATATGATGCATATATATACCTTGAATGAAGGCACGCACGTATGATTAGTAACTTGCCCGGGTGAAAATCGTTCAGGAAGAGGCTCTAGCATTGCACATATATACCTTGAATGAAGGCGTACAGTGGATGATTAGTAACTCACTAACTTGCTCAGGTAAAATTCGTTCAGGAAGAGAGGCCAGGCTCTAGCTTAGCATTGCATGCAAGTGTTGGGATCGATTGTTGCATGACATTAACAATAATATACAAAGAATTAATGGATGCGGTTGATGAGACATGAGGGTGAAGCTAAGCAAGGTTTATTCACTTATTTCATGAGGGTGTAACAACATGTATTCGCTCATTATTTTAAACTTAACTAGCAAACAAGAATTTATATTAATTAAATCATATAACTAAAATTTAACTTAATTAGCTAATAAAGCTATATACTTCCTCCGTTTTAGATCCTCATTACCATATTACAAGCACAATATCAAAATATGGAGTACATGTAAATAGTAAAAATTCGATTTTTATTTGGACTACATACTTTGATCACTTATAACCCTCTTTGTTTATTAATACATACGAAATACACACACGTTGATAAAGCTGCAAATCTTGCAATAATTGATATGAAGATTCTGGTGATAGTAACATTTTCTAGGGTATGAATTTCGTCACATGGTATATGCTATAGCTTTTAGCCCCCAACAACGTGTTCTCTCTTTCTTTTGAGCACAAGCAAATTTATGAATAGATTTGGCATGTTGCCTGCTACATGCTTCTAATAAGCCAAATCAAATACAGATCTCGACTAATATACAAGTTTCTTAAGATGAGTCTTTCACTGGATTTTGAATTTATCTTCAAACTTTTGTGTGCATACCATATTACCATCTACCCCTTCATCGGCCTCCTTCGTTCGTCCCCTCCTCGTACCATGGTAATTATTCTATAGTGGCAATTCAATTGGTCTTTTAAACGTGCATAAAACCACAAACTAAAGAGAAATTCAATATAATCAATAGCATAAGATTTATAATTATTAGTTTATTACTATATTTAGTGTCGCCTGAACAATTTTTGTATGCGAGGCAATAAGAGTAGGAAATCAAACAGCCTACATGTTACAAAATTTGATAAGATATGTCAAATTTACAGAAAATGTCTTTATCATACCCATTTTGAATCATGTCAAAATTCAAAAAAATGTATTTTGTAATACACATAATAGTACACCATATTGAATCATGCCTAACTCGATTCGAAAAATACTCGGGTTAAACATGATCACCTCTCGTACTCCATATAATCATTTATATTAATGGTCCACTGTAATTCCTAATTTATACAAGTATGGAGCACGAATATTAATGTTTTATAGTACCCTATAGCAAAAAAAAGGTAATTTAGACCTTTTTTGGTTGGATGTAGGAAGTAGAAATTCCCATGTAATGAGATATCTTATAATATATTTTTGTGAGGATATCTTTTGGCAAATATTATCTATTGTATTTTAGTTAACCTCCTAGGATTCTAGCATATCTTTTGATTCTATTATTAGAAGGTGTAACTATTATATATCTGACATTACGATCAATGAGAAATTCAAACCATTCAATTTTATTTTTTATCTAATTTATCATGGTATCAGAGCAGGTTAAATTTTTTTACCTTGATGAGGAGGTATACATGAAGCTACCTCCCGGGTTTGAAAGTAAGGATCCCAACTTGGGTAGCAGATTACGCAAGTCTCCCTATATGGTTTGAAGCAAGCTCCCAGATTTTGGTTCACAAAGCTTGTCAAGGCTTTGAAACAATATGGTTTCCTATAATCCTACTCTGATTATTCATTATTTACATACACTAAGACTAACATTCAAATAAATGTCTTAGTATATGTCGATGATCTCATTATTTCTGGGAATAATTCCGTTGCACTTATTGTTTTTAAAGCTTATCTTAGTGATTGTTTCAAGATGAAGGATCTTGGTCCTTTGAAATATTTTTTGGGTATTGAGGTTGCTCGTAGCTCTGCAGGCTTATTTTTAAGTCAAGGAAAATATACTTTGGATATCATCTCTGAATCAGATTTATTGGGTGCAAAGCCAAGTGGGTTTCCGATGGAACAAAATCACAAGCTCGGCCTAGCAAGTGGTGTGCCACTTTCGGATCTAGAGCAATATAGAAGGCTGGTTGGTCGTCTGATATACCTTGCGGTAACACGACCTGACTTAGCCTATTCAGTTCACATACTATCTCAATTTATGCAAGAACCCCGTAGTGAAAATTGGAAAGCAACATTGAGAGTAGTGCGCTATTTAAAGGCCACTTCGGGACATGGTATTCTTTTGAACTCTGATTGTGACTTAAATCTGCAAGGTTGGTGTGACTCAGATTGGGCCACCTGTCCTCTTACGCGGAGGTCTTTGTCTGGGTGGCTAGTATTTCTTGGCAAGTCACCTATTTCATGGAAAACTAAAAAGCAGCACATAGTGTCAACATCATCGGCAGAAGCCGAATACAGGTCCATGGCAGCTATTACTTGTGAACTTAAATGGTTAAAAGCTCTACTGTTGAGTCTAGGTGTTCAGCATCCGAAGACAATTAAATTATTTTGTGATAGTGAGTCAGCTCTGCACATAGCTAAGAACCCGATTTTTCATGAACAAACGAAGCACATTAAAGTCGATTGTCACTTTGTTCGAGATGCAATTACTAAAGGCTTGATCTCTCCCTCTCATGTTCCAACCAACTCACAGCTCGCGGATATCTTCATCAAGTCTCTTGGCAAATCTCAGTTTGATTATCTTCTTTCCAAGTTGGGCGTTTCCAATCCTCACGTTCCAACTTGAGGGGGGGAAGGGGGTAATGAGATATCGTATAATATATTTTTGTGAGGATATCTTTTGGCAAATATTATCTATTGTATTTTAGTTAACTTCCTAGGATTCTAGCATATCTTTTAAGTCTATTGTTAGGAGGTGTAAATATTATATATTTGACATTACGATCAATGAGAAATTCAGGACATTCAATTCTATTTTATATCTAATTTATCACCATGAAATCTCAATTCCTATGAAATTTTAATTCCTAGGAATTCCCAAAAATTATTTGTTTGGATGTAAGAATTTCTACTTTTCATGGAAAGTTTCACTTACCTAGGGAAGACTAGGTAAGTTATTTCCCCCATTTTATAGGAAGTAGAAATTCCTAAGGACTTCCAATTCCTACATTATTGTCAACCAAACAAGTATGTATATATTCATTTCCTAAGAAATCAAACTTTCTATGAATTTATTTGTCAACCAAACAAGGTCTAAAGTAATGATGGAAATAATGCATCGTGTATTAGTACAGTAATAACAGTAGTTGGTACTAGATTTTTGGGAATGGCTGTTGACAGTTGACAGGGACAAGGATGAGGGTTGGAGACCACGGGATACATACGTACATAATTGAAGTTAGAGGCTTTGGGCCGCTCATTTGTTTGGGCTGGCCTTTCGAAAACTGAAGGAGCTGTATTATCATTTCAATTATCCACTGTGGGTCCCGCCTCGATTTTTGAGTTTCGTTTCGTAAAATGATGGGTGTTAAGCTTAACAAATACCCCGTTTTACGGCAGCAATAATGTCTATATCTGTTTATATTATTTGTAATAATTAGATAGTTTTTTTTACTCATACTTAATGTTAAAACATTGCAAATAATATGAAATAAAATTAGTATAAAAATTATTCCTTCTATTTCGTATTAGTCGCAACACTTTTTTTTTCATCTGTTTTATAATAGTTGTAACACTTCCTTATTTAGTAAAACTCTACAATTATTTTATTATGTTTCTTTCCTATCAACCCCACTTACACTACTTTTTTATGATTTCTCTCTCATATTAATAATTAAATATACCAATTGGCTGTTGGTGTGATGGTGATTGAGACTACACTTGGTAGGGAGGACCGCGTGTTCGATCCCCCGCAACAATAATTGGGAGGGGACTGGAACCTAACCACCCAGAACTGATCCCCGAATCTGAATTAGCTCAAAAGGTGAAGCGGATGGAACACCAATAATAATAATTAAATATATCCCCATTAACTATGATTTATATTTATAAAATCTCCTTTTGGTCCCTACCCTATGATTTCCTAAAACTTTGTGTCCTCCTTACTATTGCGATTATTACGAACGGAGGAAGTAAATATTAATAATGTATTCATCTAAACGAATAAAAATAGATCTCATATGACTATGTTTGTTCTTATATATAGAGAGAAATTTTATATATTTCCTTTTATTTTTACTAGTCAAAAAATTCTAAATGGGATTAAAATTGTGAATTGTTAAACATCGCCCGCAAATTCCTACATAAAGCCCACAAAATAAGAGTGAAATGACACTTTTGCCCTCATACTAAAAAACACACAATTTCTCTCTCTACTCTCTACTTCCACTTTCTCTCTCTAAATTATTTCCAGAGCTATGTCGAGGCGGCCCGGCAAGGAAGTGGCGGCACCGGCGGTGGGCGGAAGGCGGTTTGCCGGCCAGAAGGTAATTTTTTTAATTTTTGTAATTTTTTTTAAAAAAAAAAACCTCCGGCGACGGTGGGGCGCCAAGGCGAGACGCCATCACCACGGAGGAGGCGCCTAGGCAAGGCGCCCGTACGGTGGTGGCGGCGCCTAGCCCAGACGCCACTACCACGGCAGCGGCGCAGAGGCTAGGCGCCACGGCCGTGGTAGTGGCGTCTGGGCTAGGCGCCGACACCACCGTACGGGCGCCTTGCCTAGGCGCTTCGTTCTTTTTTTTTTTTTTAAATTTTTTTTTTGTTTTTTTTTAATTTTAAATTTTATTTTCGATTTTTTTTTTTTTTTTAAAAAATTTGTTTTTCTTTTTTTTAAATTGTATGTTCCCTTTTTTTTTTTATCTTTTTTTTTTAAATTTTGTTTTTTTATTTGTTTTAATTTTATATTTTTTATGTTTATAATTTTATTTCCGTGACTTGTTTATTTGCTTTTGTGTTTATTTTCGACTTTTTTTAATTTGTTTTCGTTATTATGTTTCGTTATTTACTTGGAGTTAGGCATCGCAATTTAGACCTGGTGCGGGGAAGAGTATTGACGTCGTGAGGAGTACGATCTACTCAATGGAGAGCTCGGGGCCCAGACACGTTAGATCCCGTGGTATTTCGGCATCGGCCCGCAGAGAACGGGTGCACTGTTCTGCGGACGATCAAGATGATGATGATGATGATGAGGAGGAGGAGGAGGAGGTCGAGGAGGAGGAGGTCGAGGACGAGGATGATGCAGATGAGGATGTCGACGATCAGAGTGGACCATATGATGATTACGGTCCATTCAGTCAGAGACTTGATGATACGTATGAGACGCATAGGGTAGATGTGCGTAAGGGTCGAGATGGTAGGTTTGTTAGTAGATCTGGCACATCATCTGCGTCCACTGTGTCTGCGGGTAGCAGAAAACGGTCGAGGGCCGTTAATGATTCTTGGATGGTGAGGGGTGAGGTGGCCGGGGGACCTATAGACGGGAGTGTGATTCCTAGCTTTTTAGGACACATCGCTACCCGTATTTGGGAGGACCAGGAGAGGGCTTTGGATACAGGCATTTTGAAATGCCAAACCCGGGAAAAGACTTGTAGGTTTTTGTGTAGCTGGGCTGATGCTTGGCCGGAGGAGAGCGAGATGGTCAGGCGATTGAGGGCCACTAGAGTGAGTCACCTTCCTGCCACCATGCACGACAGGATTGACTGGACGCTGATCACGGCTTTCGTTGAGCGATGGCAGCCGGATACGAACTCGTTCCACCTTCCGTTCGGTGAGATGACGATCATGTTGCATGACGTCGAGGCCATCCTTGGGATTCCCGTGGAGGGAAACCGAGCATCTGTCGTCACTGATGCGGATCAGGCAGATTTACTAGCGGAGCTGTTGGCGGTGGATAGGGCTGCGCTGTACACATCGGCACTTGGTGTGTGGGATCACGGCGGCGTTAAGATCGCAGCCGTCTTGCAGCGATGTTTGCACCCTACGGCACGTAGGACGCAGGACACACAGCTGGCTGCATATGTTTTTCTTCTTCTCGGGTGTACCTTGTTTCCGGATAAGAGCGGGAACAAGCTCAGGCCACGCGACATAGTTGACGCGTGTGATCCCGACAGAGTAGGCCAGTTTTCTTGGGGGTCGGCTACGCTGGCGTATCTGTATCGCCAGTTAGGATTCTCGAGCCGGGCTGATGCAGCAGGTATCACTGGATGTCTGACGTTGTTACAGACCTGGATATACGAGTATTTTCCTGCGTTTCGACCACACCGCGACCCGGTTCCCATTGGTGATGGCCAGCCACGTGCCTGTGCGTGGAGTCCGCGTGTCGAGAAGAAGTCCGTTGACCGCCTGCGCTCCATACGGTTATCGCTTGACAGGATGTCCCCCTTAGAGGTACAGTGATTAAATTATTTCTACTTTTACAATCTGATGCTTTATTTTATGACTGTTACTGATTTTAAATAATGTGCAGGTGAACTGGATGCCTTTCGGCCAGAACCCTAGTAATAGGGTACCCAGGACCCTCTACACTGGACTGATTCAGTATCGCGAGATCGTAGAGGCGTACATGCCGCAGCGCTGTCTTCGCCAGCTTGGATTTGTCCAAGTTGTCCCACCTCCACCGGCATGGCCCAGTAAGGCGGTACGATCTGCGTCGTCGAAGGAGTACGTCGTCCAATGGCCGTCAAACATGATATCCATGTGGGAGCAGTTTCCGATGGTTGCCCGCCTATGGACGGCGGAGCTGCAGCGGCCGCCAAGTGGGGTGACTGCCATGTGTGACCAGCACTACATGGAATGGTACATCCGGCACTCGCACCCGAGGTTGATCAAAGACATCGACGACGCAGATGATGACGATGTGCCACCTGCCACTGCCTCTTATGCGGTACGTCTCATCTTTTATTTGTTGTTCTCTTATTTTAATATATATATGTATAATACGTCGTTTCATGTTTTATGTTTTGTGTAGTGGATGGGCAAGATTATGCAGTTGGGACACCGACTTTTTGAGGAAAGGGACTGCATGACGAGTGCATCAGGCAGAGCTGTTATTGACGATCTGGAACGGACCCTTGAGCAGTGGCAGTGGGCGTCACAGAGGGATTACTGATATTTGAAATTAGACATTATCTTTTTAGTTTGTAATATTTGAAATTATTGTTCTTAGTTTTTAAAATTCAATATTATCTTTTTAGTTTGTAATATTTGAAATTATTGTTGTTAGTTTTTAAAATGAAACATTATCTTTTAAAAATGAACACATAGAAATGACATAGTATTGACAATACAAGGCCTCATAGTAAAAGGTAGGTGTACATCAACAAAAACTACATGGCAATTAAATTGTTCCACTGTTGCACGCGAGCATGGTACAAAGCATCCCAACCCTCCACGCTTGCTCTACGAATTTCATACCACTTCGGTATGATATTTGGGACCGGAAAATCGGGTGACATGTCTAATCGGATAAAATGTCTGTATGACGGCCCAAGAAATCCAATAGCAACGTCCCTTACCGGTCTGGTGACGGTCTCGCGCGAACACCAGGGCAGAACCGTTGTACATGGATAATAGGCTCGACTATGTAAACCAAGGCCGAAATGCATGACTGCACACTTGTAGATGTTTGCAACGGCAAAGAGATCAAGTGGCGCATCGAACCAATGATTTTGACCGCAAGGTCCCCCTCCCCACCGGATACGCTGCAGAGACCTATCCAAGTCCTCGCCGTACACATGGCCATACACATCTCGGTTTGATGCGATTTCACTGTACATCAACTGCCGCACTAAACCGTAGTTGTCTTCACCCATTTGAAACACATCCGCCACAACCCGAAATCCGCAGTTACCATCTGCAATGACATCATTCCACCCGTCCAAGAATGGCATCATGATATTAGGGATCCTGTCCTTATATGGAAAATGTTCAATGTCCATTCTCCCTGTTACACACATCAATAAACACAATAAACAAGTCAACAGTAAACTAATCAAACAGTCAACAAAAGAAATTGAAGTCGAATGTCTTACCGGTGCCGGGCATATTCACCGACGACGATGATTGGCTGCCACTTGATGAGGATGTACGACCACGGCCACGGCCACGGCCACGGCCACGACCGCGAATGTACTCAAACGCACTCTTGTTCCGCCGTGGTTGTCGACCCCTAGGTCGCTCGACCCCTTCCGGTTCCTCGGTATCCAAACACGATGTATTGAACATGTCATGAAGTATGTGTGTAGCACTACGAATGATCGAAGGGTGACTGGAGGACACTTGGTCAAACATCATCTGAAACTGCTCCAACTCCTCCTGTTCACGGTGAACCGTATGCGGAACAGCATGCTCTCCGATAACGAGCGTCCGCCAGAATGGATGAACCTGATCGACATGTAACGACGCCCTGTCTTGCGTAATTACGCGGTGAATGGTGCATGCACAAGGTAATCCATGAGTCATTGATATAGCACATCCGCACCGAATAGCCACTTCATCGCCCAACTCCCTCATCCTGGTATACTCGCTCAGAATCAACCCCAAACAGTGGTGTGACACACGACCGTGGAGAATCTTAAATATGAAATGGCCATACAACATGCCATGTCGTCGTCTGGAGTCCTCGAGATAGTTCTTGATGCCGTTCCTCTGAGTATCAATAGCCTTGTTTATTCTCTCGAACAGTGTATCCAGAGCAGCCGTGGAAGAATCAATCCAGTCCTTCAAAGCTCTATGAGCGCTCTCGACTCTGCATGTCGTAGTGTTCCCAAAATGAAGAACTTGGTTCGTCCAATATTTGACAAACTTTTCCCTCTGAGGTACCCACTGATGCATCACATAGTCTACGATTGGCGGGCACCACTTGTACGCATCCTTTAAGTTTTCCAAGGCTCGATCGTACTCTGCCTCCGTGGTAGCTTGCAGGATCTTCCGCCACTTACCATTTACCAATCTCTCTGCTGAATCTAAGTTCTTGTTGAAAAGGTTGTAGGCTTTGACTTTCACGCAGTTGTTGATGTGCCATGTGCACAGTAAATGGCTCGACTCCGGAAACAGCTCCGCTATAGGGGCAAAAAGACCTCCCTCACAATCACTTACGATGGCCGATGGCTGTACATTTGGGCCGATGTAGTTTCTCAACTTTTCCAACACCCAACGGTAACTCGCAGCCGTCTCATCCTTCATGACTGCATAACCAATCAGAAAGTTCTGGTTCGTTGGAGCCATCCCAACCATCTCAACCAGTGGGAACTTGTACTTGTTTGTCTTGTACGTTGAATCGATCAAAATCACAGATGGCCAAGACGAAATCATATCAGCACAATCAGGATGGACAAGGAACAAATGAGTTACCTCCGATGTGTCTTCGTCAGATTCAAACCAGTAAAGGTAACCACGTGCTTGTGCCTGGTGCAGAAGCTGCTGTATAGGGTTCCTTCCCTCTGACCGTTCAAACCTCAATTTCTGTCTGACGTTGTAGATGTGTCTTCGGTTTGGCTGGTCTTCGGGGAATTTCTCTAACACAGACGCTAATATTTTAGCGGGCTTCACTTGAGCATCACTCATTTCTTTTACAACTAGTTTCGCAGCTGGACTTAGGCCGCTTAACTGCCGATGCCCCACTTTGTATGCTATCAGCTCATGGTTGTGATATCCCCATTTGCCGTAACCCTTCACTTCCCAACCGTCACGCCTTTGATGTTGTCGAACCTTAACTCGGAACTGACACCCACAACCTTTCCGCTTTGAGTCAAACCGAATCGCTTTACTGAAATCTCGTTCTTCTCTTTTGCGATAACGGTCGCATCTCAAAATGCGATCCATTCTACCATCCCGTTGAGATTTATGAGTTGCTACTACTAAACAAAAGCCTGATCTAATTGCAACCTGTTTTGCCCAATCAATCGCTTGTTGAGCATCTTCGAACAGGCCATCATGTACAAAAATCCCACTGTAATCATTTCCGTCTCCACCATAATCCTGTAACAATAACATATAACGTATAAATATAATTACATCAAGATTAAATTAACAAAAACAAACAAAAAAAAAAAAGGGATTAAATTAAAAAAAAAAAAAAAAAAAAAATATTCCCTTACTGGCGCCTGGCCAGGACGCCGGAGCCACGGCCGGGGCGCCTGGTCAGGACGCCGCCGCCATGGTGGCGGCGTCCTGGCCAGGCGCCTTGGCCGTGGCTGCGGCGTCCTGGCCACGCGCCACTACTATGGTCGAGGCTTCTCCACCAGGCGCCGTGACCACGGTGGCGGCGTCCTGGCTAGGCGCCACAACCACGGCATGGCCTTTTGGCTAGGCGCCAGCCACCATTTCGTCCTTACGATGCGTTACGAACCTCGTTTTCCGATGACGACGGCGATTCTCCGGTGATCCTCGGCGATCCGGTGCTGCTCCACATTTTTTTAGTGCGAAAAATTTATCTTCCGTTAAAATTATAAAAAGGGCAAATTTGTCAAAAAATTATAAAATGTGGGCTTTATGTAGAGATTTGCGGGCGATGAATAACAAGTCCCTTAAAATTATGCTGAATTGAAGAGAATACAGGTATTCATTAACTTCGCATATCAAACCAAATTCGTCAACCGCAAGTATGATAGTGTTGGCGTATGCACAATATATATTCACTATGTACATAGTGAACATCAAGATAACATAAACATTTATTCCAATGAATATAAAACTTTAATTAAACATAAGAACTATAACTAAAATAATTTTATGTTCATTGGAGCTAGTTTATGTTCATTAGAATTTACATTCTTTTGTTTTTGGTTTATTATTGTACTTCAACTTTCCATCTCTTTGTGCTATTGTTCTATTTTTTTTTTTTTTTTAAAAAAAAATGGAAATAGATACTACCTTCGTTTTTTTATATTCTACTCACTTACCATAAACACAAAATTTAAAAATTAAAGAATCTGAAAAGAGAATGAATGTAAAAAGGTGGGTTTGTATAAGAAAAAATGAATAAAATAAGAGCTATAGTATAAAAAGGTGTAATTATTGTGAGGTTGGAGGGGTAAGATGCTAAAAAAAATGGCATAAATAGATTAAAACAAAGTCAGTAGGATTTAAAAGAACAACCTAAAATAAAAAGTGGGTAGGATAAAAAAAAACGGAAAGAGTATTTATTTATGTTGAGAAGTTGAAATCAAGTAATCAGAGTATAGTATTCTAAATTTTAAATGATATAAAAATAATATATTTCATATATGTTCATCATGTATTAGTAGTTTATTTAATCAACTATAAATCCATAAATATAATCTTGTTCGTTTTTGAATGATATCATGTTAGGTCGAATAAGAGTGAGAAGAGGAGAAAGAGGGTGAGCCTCATTTATTACCATAGTCCTTCAAAGGGAAAAAGTGTTTAGGTTGAGGTTTATGGACTTCGATACATTGGGCTTACAAAGTCATTGCATACATGACATTGGTCCCCTATACTAGTAGGTGGATAATCTATTAATAAACCAAATAATTTGTTGAATAAATAAGTTACTCCCTTTTGTTGCAAATTTGCAATAGTCTTAACACATTTTTTTCACGAGACCATGTTTAGAAGTTAGGCCTCTTTCAATTTACCTTAAAAAAAAATAGTAAAAATAATTTAAGTTCAGCAAAAATAAGTTTAGTTCAGTAAAATTAATTTCAGTTTAATAAAAATAATTTTAGTTCAGCAAAAATTAGTAACTCTAAAGAAGAAATATAATAGAGAATCAGTAAAAATAATTTTAGTTCAGCAAAATTAATTTCAGTTCTGTAAAAACAATTTCAATTCAGTAAAAATAATTTAAGTTCAGCAAAAATAATTAAAGTTCAGTAAAATTAATTTTAGTTCAGTAAAAATAAGGTAAAGTGAACGGGGCCTTAAAACAGTTAACATCTTTGATTATAAATATTGTTAATACTAAAATTAATTTTATATGACTTTCAACTTAAATCATACAAAGTAGTTGCTAGTATCCAAATCTGTGATATGTACTGTCCTTTTCAAATAAATTATTTTAAAATTTTGATAACCAAATATGTAATATGTCGTTTCCAATGGAAATTTTAAAAATTTGATAAATCACATAAGTTGTGATTTATCAAATTTTTAAAATTTCTCTCTTCTTACTCTAATATGGGGCATTCACAAGTGATACTAAATAAATTTCAACAATTTGTATAAGTTTAACTTAAATCAAAATTACTAGTTAGAATCCAAACATACGTGATATGTCGTCCTTTTTATTAAATGTGTAATTTAAATTCACAATAAGTTGTTATTGTTGAATTTAATAAGGGGATTGGAGGCAGGTTTGATTGAGGGGGAAGGGTGGTGGTAGTGGTGGTGGTGGTTGTAAAGAAGGGGCCAATATGGTTAAACCAATTCAATCACGTAAATCTAATTAAGGGGTTAATTAGCTTTCTATTCTTTTTGTATATCTTTCCTAAACTTTTTTCATACACGCTCCTTACAATGATTTACAACTATATACCAGTTAAGCTCTTAAAGAGTGAGCATGCTAGAGAATCATAACTACTCATCATAAGAGAATCTTTATCTTGAAAACATGATAACCCCAAAAAAAAAATCTACAATCAATTATCGTTGCCATGCACTAAAAAGAGCTAACATGCCTGTTCAAAGTGTGGAAATGTAACTGAAAGTGCAATACGTAAACTTGTAGTATCGTATTATGTTTCAAGATACACATGAAAGGTCGCATCTACTAACATGTATTGATTCCAATATTTCCAACTCCAGGATTTAGATTCATCAGCATGGATAGAGTTGACTTTTTGGTTACTCGTTAGTATAAAGGTATACATAACTTGATAACTTAGATTATATTACTATTAGAACATAGAATTTGTCAGCTATCAAGTTGTTCTTGCATTTTTTTTCCTCCTTGATTAAAGTCATGGATTGTGTGATGCCACCGAAAATGGAATAAATGGATCATTTAGTTGATTTGACAACTCCATTGCCGACTTTAATAGATGAATTACACATAATAATAAGGTTCCTAAAATATAATAAGAAATAAAGACGATTATTATTAGTAATTACAACATAAATGACCGTATGTAAATTAACTTAAAAATTTCAGACACAATGGTAATTGGTCGCATTATGGTGTTTAAGTGTCATGTGATTTTATAATCTTCGATTTTTTTTTCCTTTCCTCTCATGCACCCCTTAAGATAATAATGGAAGTCCAGTTTCTACTTTTGATTTGGATCATAAATCAAAACCCCAACTCTATTTTATTATTATTGAGTTGCGTAGAACCCCTATGATAAAGTGGTGGTTGATCAAGCTAGGCCAATAAGTTTATATATATATATATATATATATATATATATATATATATATATATATATATATATACTTCTGAATAACTCATTTAATTTACCACTTTTAGCGTTGAAACATAGCTGCCAATTCAAAACTACCAAACCTTCACATTATGTTTTCTTTTTATCAAATATGTGGGGCAAGAGAGGCCAAAGAGGTGATAATATTTGATAATAATAATGAAAGTATGCATATTTGACAAAATAGTCCTCGCTTTTATATGTTGGTTGGTAAATTATATGAAGATATGAGAATTTCTCCTATTGTAATGCATATAATCCTAAAACAGCCAGTTGCAAAAACACAATATATTTTCTGTTTCTAGTGTGTAGATATTACAAGATCTTAAGGTCTGCTCAAATATTCTGAGAAGGATTATATAATAATATAAGAAGTGGAATAAAAACATGCATCTCTCAAAGTTAATTATATATATGCTTAATCTCTCAAAGGTTTGCCCATATCTTTCAAAGCAGTCTTGCCAGGATACTAGGAAAGTGCACGTCATTATCCACCACTATAAGCCACTAGAAAAGAGTGTCCAAAGTTTTGGGGAAATATTATTTATCAAGGTACATGGATAGTTACAATTCATATGTTACTTGCAAAATTACATGTTCTTTAATAAGTTATTGTACACATCAAAGATTCAAAGCCCTACCCATCATAACCATCATGCATATATGCAAATGCAACGAATAATTGAATTGAATCTTATACCCCAAAATAAATATTGATGATTGATCGAGTATCTCTTGCTTGAGATCGATTTTCTTCAATTTGAGGAGGTTGGATGGAGGTTTGTATACGCGGAGGAGCCTAAACTCTAAATCTCGGATTCATATATGTGGCGGAGCCTAAACTCTTAGCTTAATCTCTTATCTGCTATAAGGTGTTCAAATTCGATCAACCACGACGTACAAATAGTATGATGGACGTATAAATGGTTTGTAGTATATATGAACCTATGCAATCTATATATATACTCGATCTATACACACAAGCAAAGTTAAATGATTTCAAGTCTGCAAAATCATCTGACTAAGGCCCCGTTTACTTCACCTTATTTTTGCTGAACTGAAATTAATTTTACTGCATTGAAATTATTTTTGCTGAACTTAAATTATTTTTACTGAACTGAAATTAATTTTGCTGAACTGAAATTATTTTTACTGATTCTCTATTATATTTCTTTTTAGAGTTACTGATTTTTGCTGAACTGAAATTATTTTTACTAAACTGAAATTAATTTTACTGAATTGAACTTATTTTTACTAAACTGAAATTATTTTTACTAAATATTATTTTTTAAGGTGAACTAAAAAGGGCCTAACTCGTCTATTAAACACGTATATTTAAAGATTGTATTCAAAAGTAATAACAAGGGACATCACTTAGACA